TGTTGGGATTTAGTGATTACAAAAGGGTTGGTTGTTTTTTTCATTCTCGGAAAAAGGATTGTATAGGGTGGAGCTGAAAATACCTTTCGAAAGGGCAAATGCTAGAGGTCATTCGACGGATTTTTCGTGTCGTACGGCAGGGCCATATGGGAGATGTTCTTATTTGAAATTTAATGCCCGCTGAGGCAAAATCTTTGACACACGCGTGTAGCGCTTGCATATTCACCGTTCCTGCCAACTAGTATTTTGTTATTCATGTTAATTTGTACCTCGGTTGTACAGCACCAAACGTCGGCGGAATCGAACCCACAGCAGTTTTCAATGAAGTGCTGCGGTGGCTGAAAGTAGCGGAACGGCGCGGGGCGTTCGGGCGAGAAAAAATTGCCAGTAATTAGAATCCCGGCTCGATGCTCGCCAGACACCCGCCTTTGTGCCGGCGGGAGCTCAACTCTCAGCCAATTATTCTCCGCGAGATGTTGTTGTTTGGATTTAGTGATTGCGAGGGCCTTTTCTATCTCAGGTGAAAGGCTTGCACTGGGTGGATCTTAAATACAAACATCTGGCTAAAAAGAGATACGAAGTAGAGGTCTTTCCACGAGTTATTTTTGTTTCGCCTACGCGAGAGTCCTGGTGTGGCACTTTTATTATTATTTGACATTCAAGTTAATTCGTAATTCGTGGGTACAGGACAATGCGTCTGCAAATTCGAACACAGTAGTTCCCGATGAGGATCCACAGTGGTGAACACTTGTGGAATGGCGCACCCCGACAAGAGAAATAGTAATTTGAGACCCGGCTCGTTGCGTTGGCATACAATTCACTTATCCTCCGTGCTAGTGAGAGCTAATTATTCTTGATGTGTTGCTGCTTGTTTGGGTTTAGTACGAAATTTTATCATGTGAGGAGAAATGAAATGACGGTATTGCGTGGATTTGAAACAGCTTGCTAGAAGTTGTAGTATATACCACTGACAGATTTTGTGTCGCGTATGTAAATGTAGGCACACATCTTGACACCACATGCGTCTTGACACACACACATGTGGCAGATCGCGTATATTTCAGCATATTCATTCGAATTCTTTTTTCCCTCCTTGAAGTAAAATTCGCATTTCGCGAATATTTCAGAGTTGGCCAACATTTTACAAGCCATTTTTTTCGAATACGAGTTCAGATGTGCAACTAGAGCACCTTTTCTACCTCCTTACGTTCATAGATTGGGTTGAAAAATTGAAATAGGAGTAATATCTGTTTCGATTTCGGAAGGGAAAATGGGATAAATCAATCACACCGATTAAGTAATTTACGCCTGTTTGAGAGATACGTTTGTCGCTACTGACATCCCTTGGGCGAGAAGGCGCTCTCTGTGATAGACTCCGCCGAAGGGTCTACTGCTCCCATTCTCATATTATATGCAGCTATACTCTCACTAACAATAAAAAACTGTCACTTTTCGAGTATGAGATTTAGAAGGTATAGAGAAAGGAATGATCTTTCGCAATTTAGTTACTAAATAAAAATATATTCATTTCGAATATTAATTAGACATTTTAGTTTTTTTTCATTATCAGTGGTTTTACAGCGTAAACTTCTGGTGACAGGGAATTAGACATTACAGAATACATTTTGGGTTAATACAGATTAACGTTGCGCGAGTCCTTAAAGTTAAAAATCAACTGATTCACGATTCATAGACTTTCATTTGAATTTCTGGAAGAAATTGCATTGGACCTTCTTGAACAAATTACTTAGAGTTTGAATAGGAGTGAAAACATAGTAATACTTTTTGAAGCAAATTCACATTTGCAGAACGTCATAGTCATTAGTGATAAATCTTTACCCGCATACCTTTTTTAAAAATAAATGTTTGCTTAGTTTTAGATCGTTGCTATTCAAACGTAAAGTTGTTTTTTAATACAAACGGGCACTTTAGTATTTCAACAAAAAGTTTACAATTCTTTCACAATTATTTCACAAAACATTCTAACACACCAGCAAAACCTTTGCTGTTTAAAATTCTGTGCTAAATTTCACAATATCTCCAAGTATTTTGATATATGATAAAATTATAGTTTTATGCTGTTCTGAATGATACATTGAAAATTAACTCATTGAAACATAATTCAATTAAAAAAATATTGTTTTGTTTTCATTTTAGAAAGAAGTTCCTGATGTTCCATCTCCTGGGCAAACCACTGTGTATTTCAAGGAATCAGTGCCTATGGTCACCTATTTGGCCTGCTTCATCGTTAGTGACTTCCAGAGCTCCAAGTCTGTTACTATAAGCCCTGGTGGCTTCCCCTTGACAGTATACTCTCGACCTTCTCAGGTTGCCAAGACTGAATACGCTCGTGACATTGCTGCCACTATTACACAATTTTATATCGAATATTTTGGAATTGATTACCCTCTTCCAAAGCTTGGTAAGTAATTTGCTTTTTTGATCTGTAATTACGAATATGTGTGTAGAAATAAACCCTTACTGCAATTGGGTAAGTGTAATAAATATTTGGACTGTGCATGTTGACAATTTGGTACTGTATTCGAAAACTATTGAGGGTTTACAGAGGAGTTTAAATGTTCTTGTTAGGTTTGGTGATACATCAGGCTAAAAGTAAATATTCAAAAAATGAAAATTGTTTTTTCAAAAAGTTATTGTTTGAGGAAACTAGGGAAAATGATATTATGCGTAGGATGAACGCACAACATTTACCTATCTTTGTGCAATGTTGTACTATTATTTCATGTCCTTGAGTCAGTGGCGGAGCGCAGTGGGGGCGCCCACTCCCCCCGAGCGGCAATTTTAGCAGGCAGCAAAATTTGACAATTAATGACAATGTCTTGTAAACAAATGTACTGTTGTCCATTTCCGATTTTTGTCGATGTACGATTCAGATCGATTGAAATGAGCACGGAACGGTTTATTACTTATTCTGTGACGACTTCTTTAAATGAATGTACAATAACATCATCTTGCTCATTACAGCCACTGGCAACACCGCCTGTACTGATTCGTAGGAATTATTATAGAATTAGAATTAGAAATATATTTATATTTTATTATATTAAAGAATTAGATTATATATATATATATATATATATATATATATATACATACATATACATATACATATACATACATACATACATACATATACATATAAATATTATTTTGCGCTCGCATTGTTTATGAATAGTGTTTATAATGTAAAGAATAATGAAAAATAGTGAACACATTTTTATGGCAAAACCAGAGATGCCAACTTGTCTCATGAAAATGAATTGTGACGGAAGGTGTTTTCTTTGTTAGATAGAATATTTGTAGAAATGCCTAAGCATTTACAGTAGGTAGAGAATTTGTCAGAAAAGTTTGCTTATCTAACGCGTGCAATACACTGGTGTTTGTGAACATCATTGCAACATCAAGAAGGAGTCATACTATTACAAGGAACTTTATTCCACAGATTATTAATATCACAATATACAAATGGTTAGAGAAATGATTGCAAACATGTAACTCCAATTTGATCTTGAGTATTTAGTACAGTGTGAAGTCACCACGCGCTGCCATCAGAGCCTCTAGACGTCGTGACAATTATTCAAAGAGAGCTTGGATATGCTGCTGGGGTACACACTGCCTCGCTGTTTCTACCAAAGCATTGACATTTGCTGCAGGAGGAGCAGAACGAACAAGTCGGCGACCCACACATAACCCAAGTAACCTACACATATTCGATGGGCGACATTTCAGGCGAACGTAGAGGTCAGGAAAGAAGTGGTAACGCCATTCATTGCAGAAAGCCTACACATTCCTTGCTACATGCGGTCGGGCATTGTCCTGCTGAATTGTGACATGGGGAGTTCCTTGCAGGAGGGGCGGTACCTCGGTCTTTAAAACCTCCTTGATGTCGCGGTTGCTGTTCAGATTGCTCTGAATACGTGTGAGGCGAGAATCGCTCATTGCAGCCAATGGCGTCCCACACCATCACACGTGGCGTTTGTTCGCTAAGGCGCGGAGCAATGCAGGCTGACAGATTGCGATCATCGCGGGAGCGACGAACACACGTACGCTGCATTACAAATCGAAGCGGGACTCGTCTGAAAACACTGGATTTTGCCACTCAGCACACCAGAGAACGCGTTCACGTGCCCATTGCTAGTCCTCACTAGTCGCCGATCATTCTTCCGCATTTGAACTCACTCACATGTTGATATTGCACTCTTTGCCATCGACGAGGCATACCGGCACTTGCTTCCACGCTTGCACGTCGTTTGACGGCTCTACACTGACTGAGTGTGGCGAGCTGCTAGGCCAACGTGCACGCCATCTCTACGAAAATTTAATCTCTTCTTATGGATACACACTTCTACACATCCATCGTTTTTAAGTCATTCCGACCATTCCTTCTGGGTGTTTCAATTTTCACAAACATCAATGTATTACTAGATTCGGACGATACTAAATATAATTGAGACTATGCGTCTGCCGAAATTGACGAGCAGAACTTCAAGATGGATCAACTTCTACTGCGGACTTTTATTGCTACCACAGGGAACGAAAATAAATTATTGTGGACCCATGTGAATTATAATTTATTGTAATACCCAAGCTGGACGATACTCTGCCCAAAATTATAATAATGCTACAATTGCCGCAAGCAGTGCCAGCTGTGAGAGTAGTTTTTCAAAATATAAATTAATGAAAATTATTTAAGATCGATGACTACTTTAAGGCTAACCAATCTATCTTGACTTGAGCAAGAGGTATTTGATGCCATATAGATTGAAAGTGCAATGAAAGACTTAACTCTTAAAAAAGTAGACGAATAAAGTTTTCGTTAAGAAGAGTTTTTGTTTCCAATTCGAAAATTATATTATTTTGAATAAAATATAAACAGTAACAGTATCATTCTAGATTTACCGGGAAGTCGATTTGTGCTTTATATTCAATTCGCTAATAACCTAATCTTGTCAATCATGAAGGGACACTGAAGAGCCAAAAAAACTGGTACGTCCGCTTAACATCGTGTAGGGCTCCCGCGAGTACTCAGAAGTGCCGCAACACGACGTGGCATGGACTCGACTAATGTAAGAAGTAGAGCTGGGGACAAATGGCACCATGAATCCTGCAGGACTGTCCATAAACTCGTAAGAGTACGAGGGGTTGGAGATCTCTTCTGAACAGCACGTTGCAAGGCATCCCAGATATGCACAATAACGTTCATGTTTTGGAATTTTGGTGGCCAGTGGAAGTGTTTACATTAAGAAGAGTGTTCCTGGAGACATTCTTTTGCAATTCTGGACGTGTGTGCTGTCGCATTTCCCCACTGGAATAATCCAGGACAGTCGAGATGCACAATGGTCATGAATGAGTGCAGGTGATCAGACAAGATGCTTACGTACGCGTCGCCTGTCAGCCTAGACGTATCAGGGGTCCTATATCACTCCTACTGCACACGCTTCATGCCATCGCAAAGCCTCCATGAGCTTGAACAGTCTCCGTTGTCATGCAGGGTCCATGGATTCATGAAGTTGTCGCCTTACTCGTACACATCGACCCGCTCGAAACAATGTGAAATAAGATTCTTCAGATGGGAACGTGTTTACAGGCATCAACAGTCCAATGGCGGTGTTGACGGGCCCAGGCGATGCGTAAAGCTTGGTGTTGTGCAATCATCAAGGGTATACGAGTGGGCTTTCGGCTCCAAAATCCCATATCGATAATGTGTCGTTGAATAGTTCGCACGCTGACACGTGTTGATGGCCCGGCATTGAAATATGCAGCAATTTGTGGTAGGGTTGCGCTTCTGTCGCGTGTAAAGATTCTCCTCAGTCGTCGCCGGTCCCGTTCCTGCACGATCTTTTTGCGGCCGCAGCGATGCCGGAGGTTTAGTGTCTTACTGGATTTCCGATATTCATAGTTCACTCGTGAAATGGTCGTACAGGAAAATTTAAATTACATCGCGACCTCGGAGATGTTATGCCCCATCTCCCTTCTGCTATATCACACACACACACACACACACACACGCGCGCGCGCACACAGAGATATAATGATACTGTATATAAGTTTTTGCATCCTATGCTGTACACATTAATGATGATTGTTTTTACCCAAAAAATCTTTAGAATGACTATATATTTTAATCTTTTAAGTTGAAATAACCAATAAAGGGGGCGGCGACATATTCCTCCGCCCCCGCTGTCATCCTCGCTACGCCACTGCCTTTAGTTAAACGCTTTACTTATCAACTTTTAAGTTATTGGTAATTTTCTCCACAATTGCACTTATTTTTTGCAGATTTAATTGCCATCCCTGACTTTGTATCTGGTGCTATGGAACATTGGGGACTTGTCACATTTCGTGAGACAGCTTTATTGTTTGATCCCAGAGAAAACTCTGCAATTAATAAGCAAAGGGTAGCAACAGTGATTGGCCATGAACTAGCCCACATGTGGTTTGGAAATTTAAGTAAGTTTTTGATATTCTTTATTAATTAAACTTATTTTGACATTATTGTTTTCAATTAAAGTTATTTGAAATTTTCCTACGCAGTGACATTAAAGTGGTGGGATGACTTGTGGTTAAATGAAGGATTTGCCAGCTACATCGAGTATAAAGGTGTTAACAGTATGCATCCTGACTGGGCCATGGTAAGTTACTACTACTTTATTAATTAGCCCCCTCCACTGATTTAATGTAATTATTTCAGTAAAATAATGGAGAAAGTAACAATTTTATTAATAGCATGCAAAGATCAGAATAACATTAATTTACATAAAATATAAAGGTGCTGTTGAGCAATCAAAATTATGTGGACATTTTTGTAATAACATGAGCAGAGATTATGATAACTCCTTATGATAGCTATACTCCTATATGTTTGAGGGAAGCAAATTTTGCAAAATTATTTTTTAAAAAAATAGTGTTGGTAAACATGGTGTAAAATTGATGATTGCACATATTTTGAAAAGTTTGCAGAACATGTTTATGGTAATGAATTGTTTTTCGTCAATATATTTTTTGATTAAGGAGTTTTCTTCTCCTGCTTTTAACATTATGGCCGTTGTTCTTTCTTTTATATTTCATGGCGTGAAAGAATATGTACTGAACACATTTTCCTTTACAGATGGATCAGTTTGCTGTAATAGATTTAAATCCTGTCTTAATTTTGGATGCTGCTGTTAGTTCACATCCAATTGTGCAGAAAGTGGGTCATCCTGATGAGATTACAGAACTCTTTGATACTATATCATACAACAAGGTAGATTAATTTGTTTTACAAACCTTAGATTATCAGTTTCCCTAAGACAGTTCATTGCAATATCTTGCTTTTCAGGGTGCATCGGTTATTCGAATGTTGGAAGGATTCATGGGAGAGGAGCTTTTCAGAAGAGGAATTAGCAGTTTTCTACAGAAATTTAAATATAAAAATGCAGAGACAAAGGATTTGTGGGATGTTCTTCAAGAAACAATGGACACTTCTGTAGGTGGCAAGAGCCCTGTCAATATTACTCATGTAATGGATACTTGGACTCGTCAGAAAGGTTTTCCTGTTCTCACAGTCATAATTGATGATGCTGGGAATCGAGTTTTGACTCAGCAAAGATTCCTTGCTGATCCTGATGCTGATACATCAAATGATGTGTCACCTTATGGGTAAGAAATGCGCCAGTCTTAGTAGTTGTACCTATTTATTTTTGTTACTTTACGAGCTTATATTGTTTTAAATTGAATTTGGTGTGCAATTTATTTCATACGAGTTGATCTTTAAAGTGTGTGGGAAAGGGCGCCATATTTGATAGCTTAGTGGCAAAGGCATTGCATCTGGGGCACCATTGACCGGGAGGTCCTAGGATTTTCGACTTAGCTTGATTGCTGAGTGGAGGTTAGCCACTGCCGGGAGGAGAATTCTAAGAGCTAGTGGTTCTAATGATAATTTTCTGTAGCTTCTCCCTGAGGGAGAAACGCCATCTCCCGGGATATATCAAGTTCTATAGCGACGGGACTAATGACTTGGGTATTTGACGTGCCCTGAATCAATAAGTACTCGCTCAGTTCGGAAAAGTGCATCCTTGAACCCCGCCGCGAGCATTGGAGGGCCTACGCGCATTTGGGATTCGTGCCAGTTTCACCCGTCCGTGTTCACTCTCCCCAAATGAAGCAATGCGTCGACGGCTTCATCACGCATTATACTTGAACAGTCGTATTTTTATAGTCAGTTTTAAGTTTCTTCATATCTTTGCATCATCGCAATTCTTTTCCTTCCAAAAACTTCTTAAGCTGGTCGCCAAAAGTATTTTTGGACAGAAAATCGACCGCTTGCTTCTAGAATCGTTTCCTTTCAATGAACTATTTCGACAGTGTTTTACATTTTACTATCGAAATATGTCTCAATTTGATATACCTTTTGCCTCTCCGAAAAGAAAAAAATCTTCCAAAACGTAATTTTATTAATTTATAAATACTAATACAACTCTTAATGATTCTGCAATTTCCAAAATTTCGTAGATTTTAATGAAAATCTAAAATATACCGTACTTATAATATACTTTGCCATATTCGAGTAAATCATTTATAAAGAAGAGAGTTATTTGTGAGAAAATGTTGCCTGGGAGAGGAGTATTTTGAAAAGCGTGTCGGAGATGCTTTATGTAAAATACCCTCTCGCTGCCTTCCCCCCCCCCACACACACACACACACAAAAAAAAATCGTGCAAATCGAAAGGGGGAATCTCATTTTGGGGAAAATATTATGAAAGGTATACTGTTGTTCACAGACAGTCGGACAAACGTTTTGAAAACGAAGATTAGTGGTGCTACAGAATGACAGAGACTTTCTCGTGCTAAATGTTTCTAATTTCTTTGGTGTGGGCTAGCTTTATGGTCTTGTGCCATCCCCTTGCCACTTGTCATCTATCGTCGCCCAAATTTTTTCGTATCTATTTTGGTTTCCTAATGGTATAACGGAAATATGACTTCAGGAATATTAAAGAAGAGTAAAATCTCGTGCCATATGGAAAGTATTTTTGAATAATTTGGAGCCATTAAAAATGCATTTTAACAGTTAATGTAAATTTAATAAAAATATAATTTTAATACAAATTTTATATTTTTACACATAAATCTTTGGAATTTTCGAAAAACTTCATTGAAAGTCATTTGAAGAACTTACTACTGCAATAATGAATAAAAGTCGCTGTAAATGTGCATATTGGCGGCGTGATAGTAATTAAAAAAGAATTAATTTAAAAAACAAAAGAATATAGCAAAATCAATTTTATGTCATCATAAAAAGTGCAATTAGCACTACCCGTAAGAAAAGTATAAAGGAAAAAAATGAGCAATGTTTGTGAAAATGGCGTTTGAGCGTTACTGAAAGTGCGGGAATATGAACTCATTTTCTCAGAAAACAGTTTTCGAGAATACTTCATCAGACGTCATGTACTTGTAAATGCAATAATTTAAACTAATCTCCGCTAATGTAAATATTAACGACATGAGAGACACTATGTCGTTTAGAAAGAATAAAGCACTATGTCGTGTACGTCATCTAATAGAGTACATTTAGCACTATCCCTATCAAGAGGTTAAAGAAAAAAATGGAGCAGTTTTCAAGAAACGTTTTTATTAATTTACTTATTTTTTAATAATGCAAGTTTGTCTCGCAATTTTGTGCGAAAACTACTATTTTTTTTTTAAATGCACATGATCTTAATGAAAGAACTATGATGGAAAATTTGTACCTTCAATTTTGTTGTTGTAAGAGACGCCGAAAAAATTTAAAGTTTTACAATTTTTGAAAATTCAGAGTGAACAGTGAAAATGGACCAATGCCATCTTCATAAGTGTATTTTACTCTATTCTTTCAAAACATTTAAAAAAGTCATGGGATATCGTATCACACTTCCTTTTACCCGGCGCATTAACTCGACGTGGCATAGATTCAACAAATCGTTGGAAGGTCCCTGCGGAACTATTGGGCCACGTTGCCTCTATGGCTGTCCATAATTGCGAAAGTTGCCGGTGGAGGATTTTGTGTACAACCTGACCTCTCGCTTATCCCATAAATGTTCGATGGGATTTATGTCGTGCGATCTGGGTGGTCTAATCATTCGATCGAATTGTCCAGAATGTTCTTCAAACCAATCGCGAACAATTGTGTCCCAGTGACATAGCGTTTTGTCATCCATAAAAATCCAACCGGTTTGGGGACATGAACGGCTGCAAATGGTTTCCAAGTTACTGAATATAACCATTTCCAGTCAATGGTCTGTTCATGGACCAGAGGATCGAGCCCATTTAATGCAAAACAACCGAAACAATGTTGGAGCCGCCACCAGATTGCACAGTTCCTTGTGGACAACTTGGGTCCGTGGCTTCTTGGGGTGTGCGGCACACTCGAACCCTCCCGGTAGGCTCTTACCAACTGAAATCGGAACTCTTCTGATCAAACCACTGTTTCCTAGTGGTCTACGGTCCAATCGAAATGGACACGAGCCCAGGAGAGGCGCTGCAGGCGATGTGCTGTTAGTAAAGGCAGTGAAGTCAATTTTCTGTTGCCAAAGCCCATTAAAGCCAAATTTCACCTCACTATCCTAGGGGACATGTTCGTCGTACGTCCCACATTCATTTATGCAGTTATTTTACACAGCGTTGCTTGTCTGTTAGCACTGACAACTCTACGTTAACGCCGCTGCTCTCGGTCAATAGTGGAGTAGTTGGCCGCTGCGTTGTCCATGGTGGGAGGTTAAGCCTGAAATTAGGTATTATTGGCAGACTCGTGACATTGTAAAACTCGGAATCTTGAATTTCCTAATGATTTCCGAAATGGAATGTCCCGTGCTTCTAGCTCCAGCTATCATTTCGCGTTGAAAGTCTGTTAATTCCCGTCGTGCGGCCGTGATGACCCCAAAAACCTTTTCGCACGAATCACTTGAGTACACACGAAAGCTCTGACAATGCACTGTCTTTTTATACATTTTGTCGTGATACTACTTTCATCTGTATTTTTGCATATTGCTTTCCCATGACTTTAGTCACGTCAGTGTTTAAGCCTCTGCTTCGGCGTGATTAAACATTTCGTAAGTTCTTCTCGTTCATCTTTTGTCAATAAAGCAGTCTGTGAGACGTTCTATTTCGTGTAAAAATTACACTAAATTATTTGTCCGAAACTAGCCGGCCCGTTCCTCTACAACACGGGTGCGTTAGCTTCCGAATGACATTCGACAATTACATGACGGGTGGTCGAATGTATGAAGGTCTGTCGGATTATCCCTTCCTTAAAGGGAGCTTGTGACTCCCAACACAATTACGGATGGCGACAGACGACTCGTCGATCTTCTCATTATTAAACGGTGTGCGCATTAAAGCACTAATCCAATATTCAGTAAACGGTGAGCGATCCAACCATTACGAGTTTCCGTTGTACGTCAACTTCTCAATTGTGCCCACGATCAGAACATTCCGCCTCTCTCCATAGGTCAAAAAAGTAAATACATAAACATAAGCAAACAAATTCCAAGAAGTCAGAATGGCGGCGGCCGCGAGATGGGGCACAGGCGCCATGCCCCAATATTCATGCAAAAAATAACCACAAACATGAATTTAATAAATGTGTTCGACTACGTCGTATTGGTTACTATTGAATTGTTTTCCTTAAAAGAAAATTATCTTACATAATTATCATGAATAATAAGACACCGATTCCTCCCACCCTAAAACTGAATGTCTAGATCCACATTTGATTGAGTTCTTCAGTTGGCTGCATTTGTGACAGTGTCATGGTAGGCAAATGCAAATCACAAGTCCCATATAATCACCAACATCATCATTTATATTTTCATTATTGCCCTGGAAAATAGAGTTCTTGGTCTCCAACATCACTCAAAGTGATATTTATAACACCAAGACATTTCCAAGGAAACCTTACCAGTGTTGGGTTTGCATTGTTAACGGATTCATTTATATCACTTATTGTAATTTGTGCACAGTTATTGTAAGTTCTATTGCTTGTTTATTACATCAATTGAAATATCTTTTTGATGACTTGTTTTGTAGGTATCGTTGGGAAGTGCCCATTACATACACAACTTCAGAGACCAGTGAAATCCAGAGTACATGGCTACACTCAGAAGACTCAAATGGTGAGGGTCTAAGAAGAAGCGTTCTAAAGTTTACACATTTCTGTGGATTATCTGTTATGTGAAAAGTTTTGCAAATGTAAACATGTGAACTGTTGGTGAATATGGTAATTGACAGAAAACAAATTATTGATTATGATCCCTGCAATTGCATTCTTAGATTAGTTGTTGGTAGATATTTTTACCATACTTTCCTTTTTTTTTAACTAACTTTTTTTAAACTTTTTTGTTCTTTTAACATATGTAATTAATTTTATTTATTTTTCCTTGAGAAAATGTTAATGAATGTGTAAGTTATGATGATGATTTTTTAATCTTTTTGTATCTTCCCTGCCTTTGTATAGTGAAAGTGAATACATCTGATAATGTTGAATGGATCAAATTCAACCATCGTCAGGTGGGATATTACAGGGTGAATTATACAGAACTTGAATGGCAGACATTTAGTTCTCTTCTGCAAGGAAATGTTGCAGTAAGTATTATTTTAAGAATTATCTTGTTTATTATTTCATGTATCATATGCAACATTGTAAAATGGATCATGACTATGAGTCTCAATCACCTTTCAGGCTTTGGATGCTGCAGATAGAGCCAACCTCTTGGATGATGCCTTCAGTTTGGCAGACGCTGGCCTGTTACGTTATGAGATAGCTCTTGAGGGAACTAGGTATCTGCGTCAAGAAACTGAATATATTCCATGGCATGTGGCTACTTCTAAATTCAAGAAACTTCTACGTTTGCTGCATGGGTCATTAGCATATTCTGATACAAGAGTAGGTCCTTAATTTAAATATAAATTTTAACAAATATTAGTGATTATAATGCGTTTTAAATTTAAATGTACCTATTAACTAGCAATTTAACATCTGTTAGTAGTTATTTGTTATTAGTTTACTGCTCACTGAATGAAGCAAACATTCTTGGATAATTTTGTTGAATATATGTTAAATTTTTTCATTTCATTGAGAATGTAATGATGCATTGATCCTTAGTTTTGTGGTATTAGGCATGAACTTATTGTAGATTCATTTCATTCTTTCCTTTCTAGTCTTATGTGCGAAACTTAGTTGGAGATGTTCAAAATTCTGTTAAATGGACTGTTGCTGAAACTGACAACCACCTCAAGAAGTAAGTAATGAAGTTATTAGTATGCGATTTGCATATCAGGAAATACAATACCAATGTTCTTCTTAACACAAAAGTTTCCTGATAATATCTTTAGGTGAATCACTGATTGATTTGGAAAAGTCGTGGCTTCCTGAGTGTAATATTTTTCAGAATGTTTCTCAGAGGGTTTTGGTAGGTCTTAGGACTGCATTTAACATAATCCTTTCTTCTCCAATTACTTCTCCAATTACCAATTCAAACTTCATGGCCCTATGTCTTATCTGAATTTCTTTCCACTGTACTAGGACCACTGTCTTCATAGATCATGCTCCTTTTTTTTGGACAAATGGTTACATAAGTAAATATGTAAGCACAGAGGCGTATTTACAGTATGGCAGACATAGCGCGTGCAATGGGTGCCACTCTCAAGAGGCACTATTTAGAGCATACCCCTTACACAAATAACAACAACCCTAATTTGAAGTAATCTGACTTGTATGCAAATACTATGCTTGCCATGGTCTCTTATCTAGATATGCTCATGTGTAAACAACCTCAAAAATTCCAAGAATCAAATTATTTTACACTCTCATTATACTTCAGTTGTCTGTGATCTACTGAGCTTAAGGGTAGAGTTTTATAAATTTAGTATCGCCTAGATTTTTGTGAGAATTAACTACTAAGTACCTTATTATGTTAATCTCAATCGTGTGTCTATATTTTGGCAGTTGATCATCTATTTATAGATATACAGAGACCTCTTAACTGAACTGCTTTGAAAATGGTTACTCCTTTTTTTAAAGGATACTGTTTAAAGTATTAAGAACGTGTGTTTGTTGTTGTTTTTTTCAGATTATTGCGTATTAAGGTGTTAGATCTTGCATGTGCTGCAGGACTGGATGAATGCTTAGATGAAGCAGGCAGACTGTTCACACAGTGGCTATCAAAACCGGAAAACAAACCTCATCCAGATCTACGTGTACTTGTATACAGCTATGGTAAGCAGAGATGATTTGTGAATATGTACAGAATATGCTTAAAAAAGTACTTTCTTATGTTTCTATATATTGGTACATTAGTGTATATTTGTACATTAATGAACAATTCAATAGACAATTTTAAAATCTTCTGTAAACTTGAAAATTTAAGATGCATTTTGCAGTTTGTAATGTTAGTGAACTGTGAATGTTGAATATTTATTGATACTTAACTTGAGCAGAACGAATTCAATGACTACATTAAAGATTTAAGGAACATATTAAATAAAAGTAATCCATATTTTTTGAATTTCTGTGTTATATTGTGTGACAATTTTGTCACTAATAGATAAGAATTGTAATAAATTATTTAATATAACAATCGATTGTGGCACATAGTCAAAAGTACAATCTATGCGCATTTTTTGAATTTTGCCTGCTCTTTTACATGCATACTATAGTTCATTGAATTTGGATTAAAGAGCAATGATTATTTTTGGGAAAATTTGGTATCTAAAAATGTTTGTCTCGTAGAAACTATTTGCATTGGCAAATGAGCAACATACTTTGGGTATTTTCGCATATATCTTATATGAAGGAATTGGCTTGCTACTGCAAGAACATGGTGGAGGATTATTTGATTGTACTGCAGACATAACAAAATTAGCCACTAACTACCCATACAACTCAAGAAAGAATGTGCAAGCAGTGATGCAACATTTTCTTCTGTGTGCTCAAATTATCTTTTTCTATAAAAATGCTCGTAGTATTATTTCTCTTTGTTAAATTGAAACCAGTATGAAGTGAAAAAAAATTATATTTAAATTGATTTACAGAGATGAGTAAATGCTTACAAGCATACAACTCTTGAAATAAGCAATATATTTTCACATTCCCATAATTTCTTATGAGAGATAACAGAAATAACAGAATAATAGGAGATACGACATTCCACCAACAATAACAATGTACTACATTCATTTAATGTTTATCATATACATTTTCATGTCGATGAAGTTTCTCATAACTTTGCTGGGCCGCTTTGTTCTGTAATATATTTCATTTGCCTATTACAGGAATGATAAAAGGTGGTACTGAGAAGTACTGGGATTTGATGTGGCAGCTGTATTTAAAGGAGGAAGATGCTTCAGAAAAAACAAAATTAATGGAGGGATTGGCCTCAGCTCGTGAACCCTGGTTACTGCAACGGTGTGTAATTCAAATTTTGAGTAAAAGTACATTAACAATGAAATGTATTTTTGAAATTATTTGTTTTGATTCTCAGGTTTATTGAACTTGCCAAGGACGAAAGTAATGTCAGATCTCAAGACTTTTTCTCTGTTTTGTCTTCTATAAGCTCCAATCCAATTGGCTCATCTATTGTATGGGATTTTGTTCGGTAAGGGTTTTTGTCTATTGAAGGAAGTGTTTCAAATAAATTGTGAATATACTTGTATCCTATTCCAATAACTGTGTTGCAACAAATCTTCTGTCCAGGTCTGAATGGGAATATTTGGTAGATCGATTCACTTTGAATGATCGGTATCTTGGCAGACTTATTCCAGTTGTCACTAAATCTTTCACATCACAGCTCAAAAAGGAAGAGGTAATTGATAACTATTAAGACGTGTATTTATGATTGAAAAATGACGCATTTACGTGTGTGTTTGATTTGCAGATGGTTGCATTTTTTGAACGCTATCCAGAAGCAGGTGCTGGAAAAGCAGCTAGAAACCAGGCTTTGGAAACTGTCACAAATAACATACATTGGGTTCAGACTCATAAGGATAATATTGGAAAGTGGCTTTCCCATCAAGTTTCAAAAGTCACCCATCTTGGCTTTTGAATTAAAACATTAAAAGAAACTAAAAAACTAAAAAAGGTTAATATGAAAAGGTGTTGTGGAATTATTTTTTTTTTAATATTCTGAAACAGTCAATACCTGTAAATATGCAGGTAAGGAGCATTTGCTTCTACAAGACTAATTTTGCAAAACTTGAATTTGTGAAAACAGAATCACTATTTTGTCTACCAACATCATATCAAATAAATGCCTTGTTTTATTTGAAAACAAAATTAATCTTTATTAAATTATAATTATATATTGTATATAGTAGTTATTTCTGCCCTTTATACCCTCTACAACGATCCGCTGTGGGACGAAATTTATAATGACCTTTGGTCATGTGGTGACTCAGAGCAAAGTCGCTCAACTTCCACCAAGGAGACCTGTGTTCGGTTTCCGTCGAATCCCGGACAATCTCATGTGAAATTTGTTCCGACAAAACCAGTTTGTCTGCTTCACAAGGATTAGTCCAATCCCTGTGAACTCTCCTAAACCTTACCCCAATCCTAATTCCTTCCCAATTCTGGTCGCTGTGTAGTGACGCAGGAGCGCGTAAGAAATAGGCGCATATGCGGAGATGCCACCTGGCTGGCTCTTGACAACTGACTGCGACGAGACGTGACCGATATGACAATGTAATAAATGTAATAATTAATGGAGGATTACTCCCAAAGCGCAAAACGCTCAACGCCCCTCAAGGGGCTTGGAGATGGCGAAAAAATGGCGCTGGAGGTGTATATACCTTACTCGAACCCGGCGCATAAAATTATGTAAGTAGTATTTCAATATAGACGTTTATTTAACTTAGTTTTAATTAATTTGCTTGAATCGCTTACGTTTTTATTATGTAAAAATATAAATTCCGAAAAAAAATGTTTATTTTAGGTTACATTTTAGCGGAAGTGTATTTTTGTGATTTTAATGAACAATTGAAATGCCGTAGTTTTAATGATGGAACAAAACACCATGACTGCACAATAATATTGACTTAAACAGATTTCACAGAATTTATAAAATGTCACTTATAGTGTTCTGGTTTTCACCCATTCATATATTCGTACTTTGAATTTTTGGAAATTACATTTCCGTCATTCAATGGAGGTGAAACCTCGTGGCTGTTGGGGCACCAGCCGCCACTGGTTCGTACATTTCCAAATTTCGGCTGCACTCCACAGTATTTACACGACTGTAAATCATTCGTAAGCGTAATAAGATTTCCTTGCCTTACTTTCTCCTGGAGAAATTACTGAAAAACTGAAGCACAAACTCAGCTATTAAAAATACGCACGCAAATAAAGCAATGCAAATCGTCCAGCGCACTGATAAAAACTCGCTGATGGCGTGTCATTGCATCGCCAATTGGAGTCTAGTCAAAAGCGAGTAGGAACAAACCGTCTTTTCTTGCTCTCCCTCCTCTCCCTGCCATTTCCGCAAAAGACTTGAGAAAACTGACGCAAACTCACTGGGTCAGTGGTGATTTATGCGAAACTGTAAATTCAGTTTCACACCGAATGTTTGTATTCAATCCAATATGGTCATCATTAAGTGAATTCAGAAGAGTCGAAAACACTAAAACAGGTTGACGACGCTTTTTGAAGATTAAAACATTATTCTCAACAACAAAAATCATGACCACAGTCTAATACAAATAAAGAGGAGCTGTCGCAAGAAGTATACTTCTAAGTAACATTTCTAACGCACGTCATGTTCTTACATTTTGCGTCTACAGTTGTCCCACAAAATGAAATCCTTGTGTGCGTGTGACATCACACATTTTACGACTGTTAAACCGCAGCCCGCCAGTAGACATACTATGGTACTACAAATAGCAACAAGAATTATCCACATTTTCGGTATCAGGGCGCAGAAAAAGTTTTTCCCTTGAAAGCCTTTTTTCCTGTAACAATAATATTTTCTCAGCACTACGTAAGAAGCTGCGAGAAAGTAAAAGTTGTTACTCGCATTAATTACAGTATTTTTTATGTACTTGTGAAAATAGGTCGTTTCCCTGTCCTGTGGCTATGTTCTTCGGTTCAAAATTCGCGTACGAAACTTAAATTATATTCGTACAAGCAGGTGCTACAAGGCAAATGAACTACCTCAGGGCAAACCTTTGTTTTTGTTTCAACGTATGGTATAAAATGCAAGGAGCTGGTACAATTCTTTTACCATAATCTCAATGCGGGCGTCTTCCTATATCCCTAAATCGTGTTACTGTTGATGTGAGGAGATGATACTGTATGTTGAAGTAATGGGAATAAAGATAGTTACGTAAGGAATCAAGGGAGTCAGGCGAACCCAGAGGGACTTGCCGCGTACCTTCTGTGCCCATCGTAAATTCCGCATCGACCGGGATATGAAAACTGACACCCAGCGATGGAAAGCTAGCCCAGCCGGTGAGGTGCGTTCAGTGCGATTCTATTGAATACCTGTGTGACGTGGACGGCGCGGCTGAATGAAGCGCTGCTCGACGACAAAGATAACGTTGCCAATCAGCCTGCTCATATCTATTCACGGCTCCGTTACTGCACGCAGAGTTCGCTGCAGGCCAAAGGTGACGCAGACAATCCTCTTACCAGCGTAACCTATTAGTGATCGACGCCTGACACATGTTAGATTACTCTAATGCTATCACAACGTATGCTGTTATGCGTCCCACGACGACTGTGAAGGGAGGAGTTCAGTCAAAAATGGAGTCGCGATGAGAGCGACTCTTGTTCCTTAGCAATGATATGACGTGTATTGTGATCCTTGGTGGATCAGTTTTATTGATATTTTGATGTGTGTATGTAATTTTCTGCTATAAATTTCACAAAACGTTAGTGTAATTTTATAACCAAATTGAGTATTCATCATACTGTAACATCTAGATTGTTAAAAACATTGTTATCGAATGATTGATTTAATGCATAGGCGAGCATCTACAAGAATACTATTTAATATCTTTAAATTTTCGTCAGCGGTGAAGGTTACTCAGGGCATCACGTGATGTCACTCGAATCCTGGCGATGAAAGGGTTTTCGTTTAATTAGAAAGCAATGTTGAATTCAACCGCTGTCTGGAGGAGATGTTTGGCGACCGGCTGCTCTGATCGGTAGTTTTCCGAGGTTTCTCTGATCAACACCTGGCAAATGCCGGAGCAGTACCCTAACAAACGGGCCATGGACCGCGCGATCTTTCCTTTCGTTTATTTATCCTGTGCTCACCCCCTTACACACACACTCACGTGCACCACACATACCGGGGGAGCGGTCGGGAGCATCGAGCCAGTTCCGCCTGGGGCGGTGCCACGCGGATGGGAGATCCCGGCATCCCGCCGTGGGTCGGCGCCGGATCTCGCCTCCGAGCGGGGTTAGGTCTACGCCACCACCCTCGACGATATAACATACACAACACTTACGGGACTAATGACCATAGCAGACGCGCACGGAATCACTAACCAATAAATACAATTTAAATTTCAGGAGAGAGAAAACTGAAATAAAGTTTAGTCTATTAAAAGTATGGTTTTATATTGTAATGTTAAATAATTTGTTTAGAAAATTCATGTATAATAATACTGTTGGAATGCCATTGGAATTGAGACACCCGATATCTATAAAATTCACTAGACACATTGTAACTTATTGTCGACGAACGAAGCACTGCGAGGCATTAATTTCCAATGTGTGACAAGGAAATGAGAAAAAAAATTCTTTGTAATGGAAGCTGGGGAGGCAGGAAGTCTTCCTTTAAATATTTGAGACTATGTTGACACTGTAGAAAATTACTCTTTTATACGAGATACATAATCCCCAAACTTAAGTATGGATAGTAATGTTTCTATTTCATTTCGAACTTTTTTTGTCTCTTATGGCTGATATTTGTTGCAGTGAGCATATACATTTGCCCTGCGTAGTAATTTTTTCTACGGGAATGCTGAACAACCATTTTCGAAATTTATCTTTTGTAAATTGAAAGATGTCTATGTGACTTTTAATGCCTTTCCAGATTCATGCACTTAGTTTCCCCCTCTTTCTACATCTTTATAATGAATAAAAAACTTAAATATTAATTTTAATTAAACTTGCGACTCCTCTCTCTTTGACGTTCTTTGTTTATATGGAATTTAATTTTCCTTTGTTTCGTCGCTTAATATGTGTAGCTAAGCTCCGAGAATCGCTATCGTATATTATTTGCTTTAAGGTAATTATCATGTGATATATCAACTAGAACACCGAGAAGAAACCGACGAGACGAGAGAAGAAATATAAAAGAATGTGACAGAAAAGAAAAAATAAAAAGAATTGAACCGTGCACGGTGAAGGAGGAGAAAAAAGAAAATATACACATTCTGACGTTGTATAATATTGGATACTAGTTGAATGTGGCGTCGCCGATGCTGTAAACTAAAGTATTTAAAAGTATTTTCATGTGTTGAAAATTTTTAAATGTCATGCATACCTTTGCTTAAAAAAGTTCTTAGTCTCTAGCATTCGACATACCAATGAATCGCAGTAGTTGTTTTACTTCCATTAAAAAATTTCCGACATCTAATAGCCTTGTTTATTACGTCCATACGGGATATGACCGGGTAATATTGCAATTTCAAAATTGTAATTGCTGTAAAGAAATACTTGCAGGTATGAAGGATGACAATAGTTACAATTTAGTTCAGCGACATTTTGTACTCTTTTTTTTCTAATATGCACATAAATGATCAGTTGTAAACTGTTTTCAACGTTATTCTTTAGTAAGATCTGTCTCATTTAGTTCCGAAAATTCTGTCGCAAAATCTTCTACAACTGCATTTGATTCTTACCCGGATTTTCTTAACCCTCCCTTAATTTTGATCCCTAGCTTTTGAAGAGATTAAAATTTCACAAACTCAATCTAAGTTGTGTTCATTTCTACTTCTGCAATTGCTCTCTCTATCATTTTACATAAACATTAAAAAGTGATTATTTTGTTTGTTAAGTCAATTGACAGTTCTTCCGCGCGATTCATTTGTTGCACAACAATCATTGTTGCCATCATTGTGGAAGAAATGTATGGCGTCGGGGAGTGAAAATTGCCTCCGACTACAGAGGTTTAATTAACGCCACCTAGTAGATCTATTTTAGTGGTGTTGGTTTTAATTCCCTCTCTACCCGCTATGATCGCAGCGCTAAATCCCGCAAAAGCACGCTTTTGGTAATTTTTTAGAATTTTCTGACCGGATCCGAAATGATCCCCATCCAGGAGTCCGAGACGCGTCGAATGACATTTC